GACTTGATGCCAGACTCGGATTACAAAGTCTTCCTTTAATTCTTTTTGAGCCGTGTATAAAATATTCATATACAACATTCATCGCTATAAAAAAGAAAAGAACATTTTTATAAATTGTATTTTTTTCTGAATTCAAGCGGTATTTAACCCAAAACCAAAACTGTCCTATATTGCAGCTCCCCGATCATTAGATGTGGCGGCTGCATTCGTTTTCTTTTTTTTATTAGGTTTTTTTTCCCCTGGTGATCTGGCCAGTAACACACCTCCTGTATTGGAGCGCCCCCGCTCTGGATGATGGAGCACAAGGGGGTATCTTTGGACAGCAACATTGTCAGTCTGGGGGGAGGGGAGTGTTAGAAGTATTATCAGATTTAGATACACTAACAAATTGAAGCCGAACTCCCGCTTTATAATCATTTGCAGCAACACAGTTTTGTTCCATTTTGGGATAAAGGTTTTACATGAATAAATAAAAAGCTGACCATCGTAAGCACCCCTGCCAGTGGTAAATGGTTTGTCTCATCTCTGTAACTGATGCATGTGCAGGAAAGGTTGTGCTTTTGAAAAACAACAGACTCACTGGCCGGATCACCAGGTGAAAATAGAAGAGAGAAAACGAATGCAGCCGCCATATCTAAGAATTGGTAAGCTTCCTCCCCCTGAAATGTCCCCCATGTTGTCATGTTACAATGTATTCCCCCTCCCCCCTGAAATGTCCCCCATGTTGTCATGTTACAATGTATCCCCCCTCCCCCCTGAAATGTCCCCCATGTTGTCATGTTACAATGTATTCCCCCCCCCCCTGAAATGTCCCCCATGTTGTCATGTTACAATGTATTCCCCCTCCCCCTGAAATGTCCCCCATGTTATCATGTTACAATGTATTCCCCCTCCCCCCTGAAATGTCCCCCATGTTGTCATGTTACAATGTATCCCCCCCCCCCCTGAAATGTCCCCCATGTTGTCATGTTACAATGTATTCCCCCCTCCCCCCTGAAATGTCCCCCATGTTGTCATGTTACAATGTATCCCCCTCCCCCCTGAAATGTCCCCCATGTTGTCATGTTACAATGTATCCCCCTCCCCCCTGAAATGTCCCCCATGTTGTCATGTTACAATGTATCCCCCTCCCCCTGAAATGTCCCCCATGTTTTCATGTTACAATGTATCCCCCTCCCCCCGGAAATGTCCCCCATGTTGTCATGTTACAATGTATCCCCCTCCCCCTGAAATGTCCCCCATGTTGTCATGTTACAATGTATCCCCCTCCCCCCCCCTGAAATGTCCCCCATGTTGTCATGTTACAATGTATCCCCCTCCCCCCTGAAATGTCCCCATGTTGTCATGTTACAATGTATCCCCCCTCCCCCTGAAATGTCCCTCATGTTGTCATGTTACAATGTATCCCCCTCCCCCCAGAAATGTCCCCCATGTTGTCATGTTACAATGTATCCCCCTCCCCCCGGAAATGTCCCCCATGTTGTCATGTTACAATGTATCCCCCTCCCCCCGGAAATGTCCCCCATGTTGTCATGTTACAATGTATCCCCCCCCCCCGGAAATGTCCCCCATGTTGTCATGTTACAATGTATCCCCCCCCCCCGGAAATGTCCCCCATGTTGTCATGTTACAATGTATCCCCCCCCCCCGGAGATGTCCCCCATGTTGTCATGTTACAATGTATCCCCCTCCCCCCGGAAATGTCCCCCATGTTGTCATGTTACAATGTATCCCCCCCCCCGGAAATGTCCCCCATGTTGTCATGTTACAATGTATTCCTCTCCCCCCGGAAATGCCCCCCATGTTGTCATGTTACAATGTATCCTCTCCCCCCGGAAATGCCCCCCATGTTGTCATGTTACAATGTATCCCCCCCCCCCGGAATGTCCCCCATGTTGTCATGTTACAATGTATTCCCCCCCCCCCGGAAATGTCCCCCATGTTGTCATGTTACAATGTATTCCTCTCCCCCCGGAAATGTCCCCCATGTTGTCATGTTACAATGTATCCCCCCCCGGAGATGTCCCCCATGTTGTCATGTTACAATGTATCCCCCCCCCCCCATGTTGTCATGTTACAATGTATCCCCCCCATGTTGTCATGTTACAATTTATCCCCCCCATGTTGTCATGTTACATTTATCCCCCCCATGTTGTCATGTTACAATTTTTATCCCCCCCATGTTGTCATGTTACAATGTATCCCCCCCCCCCCCCCCATGTTGTCATGTTACAATGTATCCCCCCCCCCCATGTTGTCATGATACAATGTATCTATCTGGATTGGATGTGATGGACCGACACAACGTGGCCCATAATTGTGAAGTGGAAGGAAAATGAGAAATGATTTCCAACATTTGTGACCAATAAATCTGTGCAAAGTGTGGCGGCATTTGTATTCGGCCCCCCGGAGTCCATACTTTGTAGGACTCCCTTTGGCTGCCATTCCAGCTGCAAGTCTTTTTGGGGATGTCTCTTTGCACATCTAGAGAGGGACATTTCTGCCCGTTCTTCTTTGCAGAAATAAATACATTGTAATATGACAACATGAGGGGGGGGATACATTGTAACATGGGGACATTTCAAGGGGAAGAAGACTTCTTCAAGGCCAATCCCAATAAATACATTGACGGTTTTGGTTGTAACATGACAACATGGGGGGGGGGGGGGGATACATTGTAATATGACAACATGGGGGACATTTCAAGGGGTGTGAAGACTTTTTCCAGGCACTGTAATACAGCTTTAATAATGGAACAGAAGGTGACCTTTAGCAGGAGGCCGGTGCGGTCTCCTTGTGTAGCACAAACGCCGTCTGGCAGAGCACAGCTGGGTGGGTGACCCCCTGAGGAAGATGAACATAAAGAGGTCTCTGACCCCAGTGATGATACCAGCACTGATGAGGTCGAAGGTCACCTCCGGCCATTATCTGACACCCTATTAAAGTGACCCCGAGGGAGCGCGGGACGCGGAATTAAGTCCCAATGAACATATTCGAATCATCTTTCACATCTCTCATCCGGTGAGGAGTCCCAGCGCAGGAACCGTATTTATCAGCATCACCTGAATCGCTTGACCTTCCGTGTTCCGCCGCGGGCGAGGTTACAGGCCAAACGCATTAAGTAATCAGAGCGAGGAGCGCGAGGGGAACGCCGGCCATCATTTATTCCCATCTGACAAGAAGGAAAAACATTCTCCCCGGCCGCTCCTCCGTCTACACATCACCCCAAATGTATCCGTTTAGGAAAGGATCCGTCCAATCAGAAGGGGCAGACACCGGATCCATCGTCTCACCGGGAAAAAAAATGTAACAATTTCATGGCGGTCTCCTTCGTTGCACACACTCAGCTTTAGTCCCAGGTAACACCGATCTGACTTCGAAATGTGCGACTTCCAGCGAAGTCGCACGATTTTAAAGTCGGACGTCATTCTGAATTGAGGTGCGACTTTCAATGCATCTGCAGCTTACAAGACACAGATGTCTATGCAGGACGAACATGATGTAGTGCACAGGGGCGGACTGACCATTTGAGCACTCGGGCACTGCCTTAGGGCCCGGGGTCAGTAGGGGGCCCAATAAGATGCCCCTGGTACCTTTTATAGGTTTTTTTGGGTGTGTTTTGAGTGTGGGCAAGGACATAGGGGCCCCATGATCCCCTATTGCCTGGGGGCCCCATGAGTTGTCAGTCTGGCCCTGGTAGTGCATGCAGTTTAGAAATCGGTGCAGCTCTGACCAAGTCAGAACCGCATCGATAGGTCCGCTATGATTGCAGACAATAGGGTGCAGCTTGCCATGCGATTTGAAACTCTCATGGCATGGCAAATAGCACGGCAAGCCGCACCGCTCTTAGTCACTGGTCACCCCGCTGCAATTTAAAATTGAGCGATTTGTGTGCGATTTCATGTCCCATTTCTGAAGACTTTATTGTGACTTTTTCAATGATTTCTTGCCATTTGCAGTGCGATTTCCATTATATTCCATGTACGTGAAATCGCAACAAAACTTCAGAAAAAAGTAATGCAAGAACTACTTTAGAAATCGCACATGTTAAGACCCCGGTCACACTGGGTGCGACTTGGCATGCGATTTGCGTGCCATACAACTTGCAAATCTTTTCTGCTGGTTGTTACCTGCTTCTGTTCTGGAGGTATAGATGCCTTCCTGACACCAAGCTGACTGCTAACTGGGAGGGTTTGTGTTCCATACCTCCTCCTGAGCTGTCTCAGGGGCCAATATGTACAGCAGCCGCATTGCCTTACACTCCGGTCACATCGGATGCGACTTGCCATGCGACTTGCAAATCATATGCCAAGTCACAGCCTATTGTCCCCAGTTACAGCAGTCATATCGGTGCGGTTCTGACTTGGTCGGAGCCGCACCGATTTCTAACTCAGTGCATGCACGACTTTTGGTGTGATTTGCGTAGACTTCTGAATCAGATGTCTTGCAAATCGCACCTCAAATTGGCATCTCACCCGACTTTGAAATAGTGCGACTTCACTGTAAGTCACATGATTTCAAAGTCAGAATCGGGGTGATCGGGGTGTAAGCACTGGCATTCACATTCATTAGATGCGATTTCAGGTGCGATTTCAATTTGCAAATCACACTGGCGTGACTGATCACCGGTCACACCGCTACGATTTAAAATCACGTAATTGGTGTGCGATTTCACTGCGATTTCTGAAGACTTTATTGCGACTTGTGAAGATTTTCAACAATTTCTTGCGACTTGCATTGTGATTTCCATTATATTTTCTATGTATATGAAATCGCAATGAACTGCAGAAAAAGTCATGCGAGAACTACTTTAGAAATCGCGCTGCAGCAAATCGCACGTGTTAAGACGCTGACATTCACATTCATTAGATGCGATTTCAGGTGTGATCTCAATTTGCAAATCGCACCGGTATGTCCAGACTCTTAGGGATGAGATGAATGAAATTTACCCATTTCACGAAAGTGTAGCAACATCAACGGATTCATTCGATTTATCCTCCAGGAGTACCGGCTCCTCCCCTTCAGTCTTGCACAGGTGTACGAGCTCCTCCCCTTCAGTCTTGCACAGGTGTAGCGGCTCCTCCCCTTCAGTCTTGCACAGGTGCACCGGCTCCTCCCCTTCAGTCTTGCACAGGTGTAGCGGCTCCTCCCCTTCAGTCTTGCACAGGTGTACCGGCTCCTCCCCTTCAGTCTTGCACAGGTGTATTGGCTCCTCCCCTTCAGTCTTGCACAGGTGTATTGGCTCCTCCCCTTCAGTCTTGCACAGATGTACCGGCTCCTCTCCTTCAGTCTTGCACAGGTATACCGGCTCCTCCCCTTCAGTCTTGCACAGGTGTACCGGCTCCTCCCCTTTGTTCTTGCACAGGTGTACCGGCTCCTCCCCTCCAGTCTTACACAGGCGTACCACCTCCTCCCCTTCAGTCTTACACAGGCGTACCACCTCCTCCCGGATCCTTCAGTCTTGCACACTGGTGCACAGCGCTCCTCCCCTTCCCCCCAGCTCCTCCTTGATTGACACCCACTAATCAAGGCATTTAGAAATTTGCAAAACTCCTCCCACTGCTTGCATCAGGATTGAGGGCTCTGGAGAGGAGTACTGAGGTGGGGGCCTGTGATGCTTTCAGGAAGATATGTACAACCCTCTCCCACCAGCCATGATCTGCCTGCCAACAGATAGTGTGTCAGGACTACAGAACACCTCCCCTGTATGTTATGGAGAAGAAGAGACAGTGAGGTGTTCTGTACTCCTAACCACATCCTGCCCTAGGGTGACAACGCTACTACACCAGAGATACAGTCCACTGAGTGACAATTGTCACCGTACATTAGTTTTTCAAGACTACAGAACACCTCCCCCTATCTTATGTAAATGTGTAGGAGGTGCTTAATAGTCCTGACACACTATCTATCATTGGGTGAAAACACTACTACACCATAGACACTGTATGATGAGTCAGTGTTCTCACCCTACAGCAGATAGTGTGCCAGGAGTACAGAACACTTTCCTCCTATGTTATGGAAATGTGGAGAGGAGGAGGTGTTCTGCAGTCCTGACACACTATCCTTTCCTAGGGTGACAGTGAGAGTTTTCACCTACAACAGATAGAATGTCAGGACTACAAAAACACCTCAGAAAGTGTTAGTGTTGGGGTTATAGGGAAGTTCAGTGTTAGGGTTCCAGGGAGGGTCAGCATTGGGGGTACAGGGAGGGATAGTGTTAGGGTTCCAGGGAAGGATAGTGTTGGGGGTACAGGAAGGGTCAGTGTTGGGGGTACAGGGAGGGTCAGTGTGGGGGTTATAGGGAGGGTCAGTGTTGGGGGTATAGGGAGGGTTAGTGTTGGGGTTATAGGAATGGTCAGTGTTGGGGGTACAGGAAGGGTCAGTGTTAGGGGCACAGGGAGGGTTAATGTTGGGGGTAGAGGGAGGGATAGTGTTAGGGTTCCAGGAAGGGTTAGTGTTGGGGGTACAAGAAAGGTCAGTGTTGGGGGTACAGGAAGGGTCAGTGTTGGGGGTACAGAGAGGGTTAGTGTTGGGGGTACAGGGAGGGATAGTGTTGGGGGTACAGGAAGGGTTAGTGTTGGGGGTACAGGAAGGGTCAGTGTTTGGGGGTACAGGGAGGGATAGTGTTGGGGTACAGGGAGGGATAGTGTGGGGGTACAGGAAAGTACAGTGTTGGGGGTAAAAAAAGGGTCAGTGTTGGGGGTATAGGAAGGGTCAGTGTTGGGGGTAAAGGAAGGGTCCGTGTTGGGGGTACAGGGAGGGATAGTGTTAGGGTTCCAGGAAGGGTTAGTGTTGCAAGTACAGGAAGGGTTAGTGTTGGGGGTATAGGAAGGGTCAGTGTTAGGGGTAAAAGAAGGGTCCGTGTTGGGGGTACAGGGAGGGTTAGTGTTGGGGGTACAGGGAGGGATAGTGTTAGGGTTCCAGGAAGGGTTAGTGTGGGGGGTACAGGAAGGGTCAGTGTTGGGGGTACAGGAAGGGTCAGTGTTGGGAGTACAAGAAGGGTCAGTGTTGGGGGTACAGGAAGGGTTAGTGTTGGGGGTACAGGAAGGGTCAGTGTTGGGGGTACAGGAAGGTTCAGTGTTGGGAGTACAAGAAGGGTCAGTGTTGGGGGTACAGGAAGGGTTAGTGTTGGTGGTACAGGAAGGGTCAGTGTTGGGGGTATAAGGAGGGTTAGTGTTGGGGGTATAGGGAGGGATAGTGTTGGGGTTACAGGAAGGGTTAGTGTTGGGGGTATAGGGAGGGATAGTGTTGGGGTTACAGGGAGGGATAGTGTTGGAGGTACAAGAAGGGTCAGTGTTGGGAGTACAGGAAGGGTCAGTGTTGTTGGTACAGGGAGGGTCATTGTTTGGGTTACAGGAAGGGTCAGTGTTGTTGGTACAGGGAGGGTCAGTGTTGGGGGTACAGGAAGGGTTAGTGTTGGGAGTACAGGGAGGGTCAGTGTTGGGGATACAGGGAGGGATAGTGTAGGGTCCCAGGAAGGGCTAGTGTTGGGGGTACAGGGAGGGTCAGTGTTGGAGGTACAGGAAGGGTCAGTGTTGGGAGTACAGGAAGGGTCAGAGTTGTTGGTACAGGGAGGGTCAGTGTTGGGGGTACAGGAAGGGTTAGTGTTGGGGGTACAGGGAGGGTCAGTGTTGGGGGTACAGGAAGGGTCAGTGTTGGGGGTACAGGAAGGGTCAGTGTTGGGGGTACAGGGAGGGTTAGTGTTGGGGGTTCAGGAAGGGACAGTGTTGGGAGTACAGGAAGGTTTAGTGTTGGGAGTACAGGAAGGGTCAGTGTTGGGGGTACAGGGAGGGTTAGTGTTGGGGGTTCAGGAAGGGACAGTGTTGGGAGTACAGGAAGGTTCAGTGTTGGGAGTACAGGAAGGGTCAGAGTTGTTGGTACAGGGAGGGTCAGTGTTGGGGGTACAGGAAGGGTCAGTGTTGGGAGTACAGGAAGGGTCAGAGTTGTTGGTACAGGGAGGGTCAGTGTTGGGGGTACAGGAAGGGTTAGTGTTGGGAGTACAGGAAGGTTCAGTGTTGGGAGTACAGGAAGGTTCAGTGTTGGGAGTACAGGAAGGGTCAGTGTTGGGGGTACAAGGAGGGTCAGTGTTGGGGGTACACGGAAGGTTAGTTTTAGGGGTAAAGGTTAGTGTGAGTGTATTCTTAGTGTAGGATGTATCTTTCTGTGCTGGAAGTTCCATAGAAACCGTCATTATCCAGCTGTCAGCACAGAAGGCTATATTCCCAATATCAGTATTACGTCACACTGGACTCTTTCCCTTCCTCTACATTACGGCATTTACTATTTATATATAGTAGTATATAGGAAATAAACAAGGAAAGGTCAGATAAAGAGGGTTCCATCGATCAATATTTGTACAGTAACTCTTCATTGTCCATGTGACAGCAGACCTGGCAGGACGTGTCCACCTCAGGGGCGGACTGACCATTTGGAAACTCGGGCACTACCCGAGGGCCCAGGGTCAGTAGGAGGTCCCATGAGATGCCCCTGGTACCTTTTTCATAGGCTTTTTTGAGTTTGGGCAAGGACACAGGGGCCCCATGATCCCCTATTGCCCCTGGTCCACCATCTACATTCTTTGGTCTATAAGGTGCCCACCATCATATCTCAGAAGGCCTTTGGGACATCCAATGACAGTCCATGGATTTAGACGTTTATATGAGAAAATATCTCCCATATTTTTACTTTGATGAAGATTGCCTCTAAATCCCAAAATTGTACTTATACATTTTTGCTTGTTTGACATGTCACTGAATATTCTTTGGTGGCCACATTATCCAAAGAGCTCATCGTACATTAAGTGGCATAAGCAGACAGTTAGGGAGTGCCTCTTAGTGACCGGAAGGCTTATCATTGACCTTAATCACAGCAATGTTCCTTCCTCCGACTCCATCCACTATGGACAAACACTAAATTATCCTCAGGCCATAAATCCCATTCCCCTTAATTTATACCCATTTAGTAAATCACGCTACAGATCAACCTGTTTCCTGGTAAGTTTGTTGAGCGGCTGCCATTGGCCAGCCACTGTCCCCCATCTACTAAATCCTTCTACAGCTTGTAAATAAATCTATAGCCTGTAGACCTTTGACCTTGACAATTATTGGCAAGGAAGTTTACTGGTGGGCCATCTGTCAGGAAGCAATAATCTGTGTAATACACTGGTTTCCATGAATATGGTCAATAATATTATCTGTCCTATACGCCTGATAGAAATGAGTCTGTATTTTGTATCTAATTCATAGTATGTATCTACGGAGGTCCGTCGTCTTTGTCAGGTGACCCTCCTCCGAGAGACCCTTCGCCAAGTGGCATGGCTCTTTATATGTCCTGGATATAAGTACATAGTAACTATGAGATCTTGTAAAAATCAATCATGCTCTTCATCAAGGCTATGGATCCTAATGATGACTCAACCACAAATCCCAATAAAGCTATTAGACTATTAGAGACAATATGTAGCAAAAAGTTTATTTATTGCCCCTCTCATCATGGGAGTGATATATTTCTGGTAATGAGGGATAAAGGACATGATTTGTTCATCTGCATTAATTAAAGCGGACCAAGCATTCATATTCAGGAGAAGTACCAGAGCAATATTCACTAATATGCAATGGACTGATCTCCTAGATATATTGTGAGGAACTGGCTGGCAGGATAGTAGACGGTGTCTATTTTTTCACCTAGGTTCCTCACATAGACATGGTGAGGGGCCCCAGGGTCGATGGCTGAGGTGGAGAAAACAGACTTTTTGTTTTATCAGAATCCTAATAAGTTCTGCACTGGGTCCTGGAACCTGGAGGCTTTGTCAAGATTTGGGTAGGATAAACCTCTATTCCAAAGTCCACATCTTACCTGAAAGCCCGACCTCATTATTAGTCTCAGACAGGGGTGGACTGACCATTTGGAAACTTGGGCACTGCCCGAGGGCCCGGGGTCAGTAGGGGGCCCCATGAGATGTCCCTGGTACCTTTTTCATAGGCTTTTTTGAGTTTGGGCAAGGACACAGGGGCCTCATGATCCCCTATTGCCCGGGGGCCCCATGAGTTGTCAGTCAGCCTCTGGTCTCAGATGTCCACAGGCCTGTGTATACACTATATTGCCAAAAGTATTGGGCAGCCCTCCCAATCATGTGATTCAGGTGTTCCAATCCCCTCCAAATCATGTGATTCAGGTGTTCCAATCCCCTCCCAATCATGTGGTTCAGGTGTTCCAATCCCCTCCCAATCATGTGATTCAGGTGTTCCAATCCCCTCCATGGACACAGGTGTATACAATCAAGCCCCAAGGCATGCAGACTGCTTCTACAAACATTGGTGAAAGAATGGGTCGCTCTCAGGAGCTCAGTGACTCCAAGCGTGGTCCCGTGATAGGTGGTCACCTGTGCAATAATAATAATAGGGGAAGTTCCACTTTAAGGACTGCTCCCCCACTCCCCATTAAGGATTGGCACCTTTTGGAGCGGGTACCCGAATTGGACAGGTACCCGCTCCCACTTCTGGTGATAGGAAGCAGAAGGTGTCTTTCTTCCCTCCCTCCCTGTAGTC